ATCCGATGCATAGTACTATTGGGTGATAAAACGCTGAGTTGATTGACCCTTGAGAAGAAAATCAAGTAAATTATGAATGAGATCAGGTCATCTATTAGAAGGGAACGTAAACTTTTACTGGAATGCGAACACTTGTTTTTTTTATGCCAATGTGATTGTTTCTTTCAGACTTTAGCCGATTCCGTGAGAAAAAATCTGCTGTCATATCTGGCCATAACAAAGGTTCACCCTTTCTAATCCATTGTTGTGGTAATGTTTTTTTTTTCAAACCTTCATCATTATTCCATGAAAGACATTGAATGGGTGGAGGGAAAGGCAATCTAACTTATTTGAACCTAATCCTCATTCGCACTTTGGTGAATCCTCAGTAAATCTAATTGTCAAGGCTTGAAAATGAAATCGCCATAAGCATATCTTCGCTTATATGCCAGACGGCGGTCTTGAATTTTGTCTAGCAATCACCTGTCTGTCCTTCCGGTGTATTCTAAGGGACATGCATCCCAAAATCAGGTCTATGTTGACCACTCACATTGTTACGAAGCCCACAGTGCTTTTACAACTCAAAGACCTTACAACACTTTACTCGCAAAACTGGTAATGGAATCAAATAGTTGGGTATTCATTCTTGCTCCCGGTTTTTGGCTGTAAACTTTTGGTAGTTCTTCAATGAACTGGAGACGGAACTAGTTAACTGATGTATAACTATGTATGAATTAACCGGTGAATCGAAACCATAATGTTATCGAGCGCAAGAGATACATGTTTAACAAGGTCGGAACCCAATCCGGTAATGGGCGATAGTCTCATGCTATTGGTTCCACATTCTACAATTTCTTCTATCCCTGTACGTCTGAAGTAGCTGTTTCTTGTCGTTTCTACCAAACATTGGTCGTGCTGATCACTGACTAGCACGGCTCGTAGAATAATTGAAAGTCGTTCGCGTTCGTGTTAGCAGAACTCTGGCACTGATCACGTGAAACGGCAAGTTGGGCTGGTGGATCACACTTGTCCGAGCAGCACTCACAAACCATGTGTGTGTGTTGTGTGAATGTATGACCGGGCATCTATTTGTATTATATGTCACACTTGTCAGAGGTCAAACTGTGTGCCAAGCAAATCATGGTACAATAATCTTTGTAAAAAAGAAAGACGTTCCATGGTTGGCTTGTAGGCTGGATTCTGTCACGTTGCCCAGGCCAAGGCAGTTGAATTTTCTTGAGGAATCCACAACCGGATCCTTCGGTTAGCCGAAGTCTGCAAGTCAGCGGAGCGGTCTGAAAACCGCAATCCATTGGGAGCCGGTGTCCAGTCCATCGAATCATACGCTC